AGCTTCAAAACTGAAACACTTTAAGAGAACTGTTATTAATTGTATTTCTTTTTGAACAAAATTGTTATCTATTTCTTTTTAAAATGTGTTTTAGTGATGTAAGAAAGTATGTCTTTACAAAAAGTAACTTAAGGTTGTTTTTTTTTAAAATAATTTTACTGACAAACAAATAGAAAATTAATTCTTAACTAGCTTGAAGGAAGTTTTTTTTTTAAAATATTTTTTTTTGTTTTGTCACAGGCTATTGCAGTACTAATTATTGTATTCTGGAGAGTTCTGCTTCCTATATTTCTATATCTAGATTTAACTTGTCTGATGTAAATATCTTTAGCCGCATTGTCAGTATTCATTCAACTTAACACTAAATCATTATTAAAATGGTTTTCCATGTAAAGAGACATTAACTAGTATTTACTTAGAACGTTGCCCATTGGTTCTGTTCTAAAAAGAATTCGCTCAAGGAGACAAGTACATTAAGTGAACACAGTTGACTCAACTCATCTGAATCACTCTTCACACAATCATCTCTTATTAAAGACATGAATTTAAGGATTTTCTAGAGATATAAGTTTGACCTTATTGTTTTGATGCTTTCTTCTATACCTCTGCATATATGTCTAGGATAACTAATTCCTCTAGGTGCTAACTTGTTATTTGACTTTTAGTGTGTGTTATTTACTAGGCTTGGTGTATTCCCGATATTTCTGTGTCTCAGAGTCTCTAATGCACACATTTTGATATGCAGCTTTAATCGTTTCATATTTGGGTAAATAATTATTTTGTTCTGTATACAGATTTTTGGATTTTTTAATTTTCTTGTGCCACGTTAAAATCGGCGTCAGGTTATTTTTTCCTCAAATTGTACTTTTGAGTGTGTTGATATTTTTAAAGGGTAAGTGTATTGGAAGTTTTACAGTAATATATGTGATTAGTTCTTGGCCTTGAGACTCCTTAGTACACAGCAAGAGTACTTACCTGCTGCTTTGACATGTATCTAATATTTAGACAAAGATAATGGAAATAAGAAAACTTGTACCATACAGAGAAATATAGAAAATGCAATTATTTAGTTCAGTAAATTACTTGACTGTTATAGAGCAGAGAAGTAGGCAAGGGGAAGTATTTATTTATTTTGATAAGAAATGGCACTCCATACTTTAAATTTCACATCATCTGTTTCAATCTGAAATGACAGACTTATTGATTCATAAAAGAGTTGGGATAACTCTGTGTAGTAGTTTATGATGTCTGATGGTGTGAAGATTGCCTCCCTTGCTTGCTATGATATTAATTAATATTACTATAATATGGACTGCAGTGTGAGTCAGTTTTAGTGTTGATAGCAGCATGAAGCAAGTTCATTTTGCATGATAATCATAGAAATATAATCAGTGCTTATATCATCATGTGTTTTATTTTGGTTGATTTAGTTTCATTTCAAATACAAGTTAATTTTTATCTTAGGATTGTTTCATTTTCAAACTATTCATTGTTTTCAAAAACCTTAATTGTTACATTGATTTAAAAAGTGGTCTTTTCTTGATCAATGAATTTACTAATTTTTATAGATGATACTCAAGTTATTTAGATATGACCAGTTTGACTTAATAGGAAAATAAATAGAAATCTTTGATAAAATTGTTTAAAAATTTCATTAAGAATTTAAAATATATTTACAATGTTGATGCAATGTTTACAGTTTTTTCCCCCCAATTATTTCTTTAATATAAATGGTCATTAGAAAGAAGTATAATAATAATGATTTTTTGTTGCAATTTTTTTCTTAATTTAATTTTAGTTTTATTATATTTTTTTTTGTAATGAAAAATTAGGGTGAATTCAAGGCATATTAACTGATATACAATTTTGTTTCTAATTTTCTAAGTCTTGTTATTGTTTGTTAAAATATGATACTCTGGAGCTTGTCATTACATTGCCTTACCTCCCCTCATTGTCCAGTGGTTTATAAAGTTGTTTTTTTTGGTTTTTGCTAAAACCAGTCATTTTATGTTGTTCTTGTTGATTGTTCATTTTGATTTTTGATACACAAATATTTTCTATGTTTTTGAATTTCATGTGATCAAATTGATGTTAAATGTTGGTTTATTTCCTAGTGCAATGATCTTGAGCAGTTTTGGTTGCCCAACATTTCAGCCGTAGTGAAATGGTTTATTAGTCTTTGTTTTTATCTCATCTTTCAACAGCAACTACAGTTAATGAGTCTGACATAACAGAATTGCTCTGTCAAGCTTGTTTTTATTTTTTTGTTTTTCAATGGACCTCATTCGCCAATCGTAAACAAACAACATTTAGCATTCTTCTATACAAAGTACGATCTAATTTTTAATACACAATATACGATTCGCCAATCGTAAACAAACAACATTTAGCATTCTTCTATACAAAGTATGATCTAATTTTTAATACACAATGGCTGACATGTGACAGTTTTTTTTTTTTGTTGTTTTATCAATATTATCAAGTGACTCAATGTTGTTTGTTTACAATTGGTGAATGAGGTCCTTTTCTATTATCAGCTCAAACTTTATTCATAGGAAGGTCGTCAAAACATAGCATTATCAAATCAAAAATTCATTTTAAAAATTGAATGATTAATTTCAAGCTGAAATTTCATATGAATTAGTATGGTTGATTGCAAAGTTAATTATATGAATAGGATGTTGGGAATGGAAATGTGGGTTTGATACCCATCTAGAGGCCAATATGTTTTCTCTTTTACTTCTGAAAGACAGCCAAGACCTGAACATAAAGTAGGAGTTGATTTTGTGTTTTAATTTGATATTAACTTGTTTGTTGCTGCTATAGACCATACAGTAGACTAAACAAAAATGATTCAGCTTTCAATCTCTCAACTATTTTTTAGAACTGTTGTATTGAATACATGTTTATTACAAAAAAAACAACATTTTAATATATTTTTTCTGACTCGGATCCTAGCTTTTCAATTACGTCTCAATGTTTTAAAATAACTTGTTTTAATGTGAACAAAATAAATGAACAAATGGCCACTTGACTAAACTCTTGATGACCTAATGCCACTGTCTCAGAGTATATTTTAAAAAAACAACTACTGGAAATCCATATGCAAGCACATCAGTTTTGTTTCAACAGCTATCCTTTGCCCTGAATTGAAATTATAGATTTTTTTAATGGAACAATATTTGTTAATAATTTTTTCCATATCTTATTTTATGTTTTGGTTACTTGGTTGTAAAATCTATCATTTTTAAGTTGTCCTATTGGCAATAATAGTAAGTCTTGATGAGCATCATGGTAACACTGGATGATAGTAAATATATTGATACTGCATAAGTCTCAGCCTGACCATGCATGGAAATCAAAAAAATTTTACTTTGTCAAAAAATTTCTGATTTCATTAACCTATTTGTAATGTAAAGAAAAATTGATCTTGACATAAATATACATTTTGTCGAATGGGATGTCATGAAATTACAAGTACCTTTTAGAAATTAAAGGTTACGTAAATATAACTGAAACACTGCCTCAAATTTGACAAATACATGTCCCCATGACTAAATATTTTGATTACATTGGGCCACCTTCACCATCAAGTTTCAATCCAGAGTTAGGTTTTCTTAACTAGTTTGTTATTTTGGTTAAGCATATGGTTAGCACAATCCCTCCACAGAGTCATATTTCTGATTATTAGTATAATAATAATATGTGCAATGATAGCAAATGAAAGGTATATTCATACCACAGTTTCACTGAAGCATTATGAGATGAAGCTCAGAAAGTTGTCTGTCTCCAGTAAAAGTATTAAAGTTGGAAATTAAAGTTAAAATGATGCTTATTTTTAATCTTATATTTACTACCTACATTTCTTTTTGCTGAGAACTGTTCTGGTTGTCTGAAAAAAATATCCAGGATTAATTGATTTAAAAATTATATTCTATTTCGGCGTAGTAACTTAAAGTTCATTTAGCCAACAGTTCACAGTATGATTTTTTTCTGCTTCATTTAGTCTCATCTGCTGTTCTGATGTTATATTTTTTATTAAATTTTTTTTTGGTTATATTTACACCTATATCAACAGTTAAGTGGCTATATTTTTTCTTTGACTCATGAGCACTGTTGAGACTTTGTTGCTTGTTGTGAATGTTATTTTCTGTCATTGCTCTTTTGGTTTATAACCCATGCATTGTTCTATTTGTTTCTTTCACAAATATTAAGGCACACATCATTTGTGAAATTGTTAAGCTTATGCGGATGCTCTTGAGTTGGGAGTCTTAAATTTAAACCTAGAGTTTACCAGGAAATTTAACCTAGCCTCATCTGGAAATATTTTTTGTTCACATTGTTACAACTTTTCCTGCAGTGGTGCCTAAAATTATATTTGAGTATGTTTCAATATTGTAGCTCTCTTAGAGGATGTGTTTATTTATGTTTAGGGCTTCTTAATTACAACAAAACTATATTTAAAGAGTTTCTGCTTAAGTTGTTTTTCTCAACACATTTTTTTGTATTCATATGCAAAAGGTAAAGGTATTCGATAAGACCATGCAATCTTTTGGGTCTAGATGATGTAGAGCTCATTTGTTTCAATGGCTGATGGTTATCTAGGATGTCATGTGGCTATCACAATGACCCTGCCCCCTCTATTTCCCCCACTTATGTCAGGTACCTAGAAGAGCTGGGCGGACTCAGATGCATCCTTAAATCCTGAAGTTCAAAACTCTAAACCCAGTACCTCAGTAGCCCATTGCTTTACCACCGAAGTTGCTGGTTTCTTAATACATTTTTAAAAAGTTTTCTAGGCAGCTTTAACAGGAGAACTAATGCTATTTATATGTTCAATGTTACCTCTCTTTCTCCTGTGCCTGTTTTTCTATATTTTTGTTCGATTTTTGTATAACTTTATATTCTGCAGTAGTTGATGTACTAGCTGCAAATAAATACAGATCTGCATAAATATATATATATTTTTTATTTACATTTGCTGAATTTTAGTGGAAAACTTTCCCAAATAAATGAACTTCACTAAGGTTAAAGAGGTCACATTATTAAATTAAAAAAAAACAACTTATTACAAGGAGTGATTGCAGGGATGCCAGAATTTTAAGAATGTGAAACAGTAGATTTAAAAAAGAGAGAGTTTAATGTCAAAAATCTCATGGCTCATTACTAAGTATGAATCAATGGCCCCTAGATTTAAAGGAAGGTTTTTTTAACAGTATACTTTATTCTTAGAGTCTTTTCATGTTGTTAATTTGTGTCATTCTGTCTTTAGAGACTTCTACTCTAGTCTCCATTCATGAGTCTTAGTCTTAGGGATGAAGTATGTGACCATGTCCCTTGATGTGATCCAAAGGAATGGGAAATTTGTAGTCATCTTCAGAAAATATATTAAAATAATTATTAGTAGTTAGGACTTACTAGCATTAATTTTTACATTTTGTATCCTTTAAAAACCTTGACACCAAGAGAGCATAGCTATTCATAAATGTAATTTGTATTACTGCATAATGTATCCTTTCCTTATGTATTGCACTGTTCTATTTGAATATAAATCGATATTAATTTATGTGTATTATTGATATATGGCTCTAGCATATGATTGTATTATAATGAGTTTTCATTTCATCCATTTGAGTGTGATTTATTTAAAAACTATATTAAAAAACTAATTAAAGGAAAGAAACAAATACAAGTTCCTTGTTGTACTTTCACTTATGCAACAGCGAAGTTCTGTCACCATTTGAGTAACAGGACGGTTAGCTTGACACATCCGGGTCCTGGTATATATGTTATATATGGCCTCCTTCAGTCGCGAAGCGACTATGGATCATCTCATGGAAATGAGATGAATGCCTGAGCATAAGTTGTGGTCAGAACGATGTCACCCACACATCATCCCCCCCCCCCCTTTCCACGCAGCTGATGTATCCAAAGGAACGACAGTGCCGATACAGTTTGGGGTCAGTGGCGTCGCAGGTTCTGCCAGGGTGTAACACTGGGTGCTGCAAACTGCCTTAGGGTCGCCAGCTCCTGATTTTTCCTCAGGGTTGAAGCCTTTCCCATGATTAAGGATAACTGCAAGGCAACAGAGGTTTGAATTCAGAGTTTTCCTTCTCCTAGGTGGGTAGCGTAGCCAGCCACCATGGCTAACGAGCCCCTCCTGCCCGAAGCTTACTTGTTAAGGCGCCAGTTACTCGGCTTTGCCCCTTCTCCTGTTAGTGAGAACATTTCCCCGGACTCAATATCTGAGCCACACGTGAAGGCCAGGAGTTGGACTGGTTGCCAGAGGCTATTTGAGACGCATGCCATTAGGAAGCATTTCATAGGTAGTGGAGTGCTTTACATCCATTACCACTTCCGGCAATGACAACCTTGCGGAACCATAACAACCTTGCGAAACATCCGGGTCCTGGTATATCCAATCAGGGTTGTTAATACTCCCTGTGCTTGTCGTCTGCTGTGTTGGGTTTTTTTAAGCTAAACATATTAATAGTGATGTTTTTACATAAAATTTAAAAGGGCTAGTCTGGGCAAGGACTAGAGTGTGATTGTACATAATATTTATAAGGGCTAGTCTGGACCAGGACTAGAGGATGGACAGTCCGGGATACCAAGCACCTAGCTGTTAGTACAGATTATAAAGCGAAGTTCAGAATGTTTTCTGCAGACCTCGCACTGTCAGTAAGGTATAATCTTGTGTTGTATTGAATACAAAAGCCTTAAAAAAAAACAACTATAACTAAACATTACTTCATAAAGATGTGCACAGAACGAATAGCTATTTTGTCTGACGTCTGTCCTTGTTACATTAGCATGCTGGATCGATCTCTTTTGTGTGGGGAGAGCGTAAGTTCCAACTGTGCAGCTACACAGGGTCTCACCCTTGAGGAGGTCTTCGGAACGTCCTACACTATTCACAAATATTTCATTTTAAAATTCATATGAAACACAAAAAGGAAGAAAAATGAGATAAATTGTACAATATCCTTCGCAAATATTGCTTGCTTATACGCTTCATCTAAACTGTTGAGCCGCATAGAAAACATAAAAAGGGGGAATAAAAACTCACACGCACAACATTACCATAGTTAAAGGAACTTTTTGAACAGAAATGTCTTGGAAAAATCTTGGAAGACAACAGCCACCCGCCCCATCATAACTACGTCAAGTCGTCTCGAAGTGGGCGACTGCTGTCAATCAAGACAAGAACAGAGCGGTACAAAAACTCGTTGGTGCTTTACTCGGTCAGACTTTATCAGCACCACCCTTTGATGAGGAAACATGAAAAGGACCAAGATGCCTGTGTGTAGTCGCTAAATGAACTCTTTATGTTGCGTCTGTTCTATTTACGTGTATGTTTCTGTTGTGTTGTCTGTATATGAGAATAGTATCCTTTTAATCCCAACAAATTTCCATACATAAGGATCAATAAAGCAGTCTTAGTCTTAGTCTTGCTTTTAAGATATATCAATATTATTAAGTGCAATTCTGTTGACCCGTTGGAAAGAGGATAAGGACCTTCATAAAATAGTGCCCAGGCCAGGGCCTCCCCCTACGTATATCCTAAAGTGATATCAGAGATTTCTGCTTAGCATACACAACTCAGCTCGATTTGAACTCCAGCCCCCAGTCGTGTAATGTCACTCAACCACATATGTCACATATATATTAGTATTTGTATATCTAAGCTGGTCGTCCATGTTGCAGGTGGTCCATAGATAAGGTCGTAGGGACAAGTGACAAAGACACTCGGTCAATGAGCACAAGTCTTTGGTCTAATTCTTATCTTCACGTCTGCTGTTTCCCTTGGTCGCTATGTTTATGCTGCGTTACGTTTTACGATTGTTTTCTATTGGCAATAAGTTCAAGAGATAAATACCGGACTTTATTAATCTAACTAGTAAGAATCAATTTTGACTTTAAACAAATATTCTTATACAGATGTCCTGTCCAGCTCTCGATGTCTAGTTCTTATTTTCTGTTTTTTGTTCTTTTCTTTAATGCATCTGTTCTAAATGTCTTAGTAAGCTTATCCCAGACTTCAACATTGTTACTGTTTGTTGATTCACTCGGCTGTCATTTGACTTCTGTAAAAAAAAATTTACCCTTAAAATTTCACTGTGAGTTATATGAAGATTGGATGTGTTTTGAAAGGACTTAGAATAGCTACCAATCAATGAAGAGACTAAATGAGTTGCTAATATATTTACGACCGTAAGAAGTGTTTTTTTTAAAGCTCTGAGAACAACACTAATTCTAATGTTAGGACATCTGCATCTGCAGGCAAGGACACCACTCGCTATACCGTATGAAGGATGCCTCCGGATGACCGCATGCCTAAGGCAATCTTTTATGGCGGCGTAATAGGAACCCCCCCCCCCCCCCCCCCATCTCTATAAAAATATACACAGGCGCCATTTTGCACTCACTGGCATAAAAAAAAAAATAAGGGAGTCATATATGACATTTGAGACACACTCACACAAAAGCCCTTTGCCGAAGACTGACGCAGATGTCGAAAAGAGAATTGAAACAGACCCAGGCGGACAACGGCTTTGTCTATAGGTCGCAACTGGAAATATGAAATTCTAGACTCAGCCTTAATCTTTAGACCGGAAGACAATGTCTTATATTTACCACTCAAAGGCCTATATATAAGTCTGTTACCACTATGTTTGTGTGTGAATAAGTTGTGGGAGCGTGTGTGTCCTGTTCTAAACTGATTATAGCACAGTGCAAGACAGGCCATTGTCCTGTTGGCTCTTATTTCCCACGGCTATAGCCAAATTTTGACTCACGGTGAGAAGAGGAAACCGTGTCTCATATTCTGTTTGACTGCCCCAGACTTGCCGATCTCCGCCTCGACAGGTCTGGGAAATCAAAAAATTTCGACCTTTATGGTGACATGTATGCACTACGCAAAACATCAGGGTTTCTGTCCAGAGCTTTTAGAAAAGAGGATTTGATCCTCTCAAGCCATCACTCAAATTTAACTCTTTCTCTCCGAAATTTTTTACCACATTCTGGTGGAATCAACATTGGTATCGTCAGTTAGGAGAGAAAGAGTTAATGATGATGATGATGAAACATATGGTGGCCGGTGTTGTATTAGTTTAGAATGAAGGCGATTAGCGGGCATAACCGAGAGCCTTGTTTTGTTACCATTCTCTATTAGACTTACATTCATTGGCTGCAAATGGGTTTCATAGTGAAGGTGCATGTAAGTAGAGGATAGGTAAACAATTGGTAGAGGCAATGGAACAATTCAAAGCACTTTAGCCTAATTATTTACGATATGGACTAGTATTGCATGCGTTCTATCGGATCTATGTTTTTACACATCTGACCACGTTACGTGCTCGGAAAAACACCAGACTCATGAGTGACTTCCTTATCTATATTTAATCTATAATTAGAATCAACTGCTATTTTACAGATATGTTTGCGTGCATATCAGAAATGATTTGTGGTTCCTTCTCAACGAAACCAGAATTTTTTTTGTAAAAGAAAAGGGGGCAATAAATGCTGCTCATCGAAGCGACTAGAGTGATGATTTTTGCCTTATACACTGTACATATGTGTGAAAAAATGAATGAATGATGTTGCTTCCGCCATATCCGTATAGGTGTCAAGCTGTATGTCATTTTAACATTCTAGTCTCTTGTCCTATTTAGTGAACGCTAATTGGTCTATCATTAACCATATTGAAGTATTCTACATCTTGTAATCAAGTTAAATAGAATGGTTATTTTATATTCCTACCTCCAAATACCTAAGAATTGTCACAGATATTTTTACTAACGTAAATTAGGGTCACGCGGGATGCACATCAATGCAACTAAAGGAGTGTAAACATGAAGTTGTTTACATTTTAGAAGCTTCCAGTTTCTATACAGAAGAGTATATTAATGAGAGGGAAATAATTCGTTTCCGGTAGGAGAATGTTCTTAAGCTTTCCGTTTGAGAAACTCTATATAGAGGAGACGAGCTTATTTCAGAGTCCAAAAAGTCAGTCTATAAGTTACAAGCTTCATGTTAAGTATACAACTGTAAATTTATTAATGAATTGGGATTATAGTGAGTATTATTTCTTGATATAGTTTGTGTTCAATCTTTTCATGATCTCTATTTGAAAATAAATATATTTTTTCATGGAGAGGAATACTATTATTACTTCAACTAAACCAGCCTTTCGGGCATACGACAGGTTATAGAGTTATCAGATAGAGTCATCAGATAGATATAACATCACACATAATTACAGATATAACTTCTATTGGATTATTCCGATAAATCATCTCAAATGGAGAAAATCACGTAGTCTCTTGATGGCTTTCACTGTTGGTCTATGAACTTTGATGTTCGTTTGGTCTCGGACACTTCTTACCCTGTCATCGATTTGAACAGAGAGGAAAGACAACTTCTATATCAGAGAGTACCACAATAAGAGTCGACTGGAAACGTGTTGACATCATTTTCTGAGAAGTCAGAACTTTTTTTTTTCACTTTTTATTCAGTACTGAAGAGATTACATTGCCAACAACACATAAGACACTAACATAAGTTTACGGTTTACACAACAGTTCACGTTAAAATTGTTCATAAACTGTCCAAACTTGACGATCACTGGGTTGTCCATTGTCCTTTGCTGTAGACGAACGAAGTTTTTTGGGATTCATTCGGAAGG